CACAAGGCCCTTCATGGTTTTCAAAGCTCGTTCTCACCCATTATCCTCAGCTCGCACAAAACCTCAGTACCAGAGGCAGTGCATGTGTGTTTACCTCCACTCTATAGACAAGGAAACCTTGTAATCAGTGAAGGGGAGGGCCCCTCTGGTCACAGAGAGCCCAAGGCAAAAGCAGGACTCCCACTTCCGGTCCACTGCCGTCTCCATGGCCAGCCACGGCCCCTCCCAGAGCAGGAGAATCCCAGGTGGGTGTCCTACAGGATCAGGCAGGTGGGCTGAGAAAGGCGACGGGCAGGGCCCAGACAGCACCTGTCTCTGTTTGGTCTCGTGCCACACCCAGGCCAATCTCCTGGACCAGGGGAAGAACAGGGGCTCTGGAGTCCTAGGATCGGATCCTCGCTCCGTCACTGATTAGTGAGGGTCCTGGGCAAGTTCACCTGTAAATGGGGACAATATGCCCACCTCGTGAGGCTGTAAGGACTCAGTAAGATCCTGTCTGTGAGGGCTCAGCACAGAGGGCCATGGCATGCGCGGTCCTCTTTATTTTTTCTGGGGAGATCTGGGAAATCTTTGCATCTGCCGTGGAGACAGCTGGCTGTGGACTCACCTCATCTTCAGGTCCTCCAGGGCTCTCCCCCCGCGGCCTTCTGCCTGCCCTAGGCTGTTACCAGGAAGCAGGACACAGGGCCAAGGGCCTGAGCTGCCATTCAGGGGGCTTCCTGAACCCGGAGAAGGAGCCACACCCAAGGAACTGGCTGGGAGGGTCCTTGTGCATCACCGGCTTCAATCTCCATTTACAGAGAAGGAAACTGAGGCCCAGAGAAGGCCAGGGGCTTAGTTAGGTCCCTGGGAGGTGGGCTGCAGGGCCCCAACTGGAACCTCAGTCCTACACGATAGCCTCTGTGCCTCCTGAACTGGCACTTGTCCATAAAACACGGGGCAAGGTGTGTTTCAGGGATGGGAAGAGGGGTATAAACCCACAGTGCCAGACCTGCCTGCACTCGTTACCCACTCCAGATGGATGTCTATGGAGCCAGGGAATTAGAAGTTGCTCAGAAATCCCACCCTGCTCACCTGTCATACAGTCATGGTGCCCACAGCAGGCCTGGTCCTGACCTGGCTTAGAAGGGCAGGGTGTTCTGGCTATCAGACCGACATCTGGCCTGGCACAGGCGAGCTGTGTGCCAGGGGGGGCCACCTGGGGCATGAGGGCAGGGACCGTGGGCAGCTGTGCCCAGGCTCCAGATGGTACAGGGAGCAGCCAAGCCAAGATGAAGGCTGGCACTGGGAAAGTCCTTCGATGCCAAGTGCAGTGAGAGGCAGGCACCAGGCCCAGAAAGGCCTCCGGCCCTTGGGCAGGGGTGCTGGCTGCCTAGAGAGGATTGGGACTCACGGGCCATGGGGCTCATGCCCACCTACCCTAAAGGGACCTCTCTAGACTTTTCAAGAAAGAGCCTTGCCAATGCCTGATCCCAGTTGGCACAGGCAAGCCTCCTCAGATCATGGAGGCCCTGGCCTGGCCTCTTCCTGCTGGTGGTGCAGACTCTCAGCCTCAAAGGGCACAGAGAGATACAGCACATGACGACAGGTGAGAGGCAGTGGGTGATGCAGGTTATGAGGGGCTGTGGGCCAAGCCCCCGAGAGCATGGCCTCTAGGGATTTTGGTACCTCTGAGGCTGCTCTTCAAAAAAAGGGAATTGGGAGGGCCATGCCGGGGCCCTAGACTTCAGCAAGGGCAGCAGACGCATGGCAACTGGCTGACCTGCTCAGGGTGTGACTGTCGGTTTTCAACATAGTCCTCTCCTCCGGCCACAGTAGTGTGGTGCTTGAGGTGGCTGGATCCCACAGGGCCTCCTGCATGACTGAGTCCCAGACCTGACCTGGCTGCATGGAGAATATGCCAGGCATATGTGTACGTGCCCAAATTCCCTAGAGAAGAATAGAGAAGATTGTGTAGCCATCCCCCCTCAGGGGCTTCCTAACTTTCTCTCTCTGGGGAGAGCATGTAGCCTATAACAAAAAATAAAAACAAAAAAAGAGATAGCTCTCTTTCCCATCACTCCTGCCAACCCTCTGCCCAGACTCTATCCCACCTACCCACCCTGAGTGATCAAGGTAACTTCAGAGAGGAGCTCATAGGGGTTTATCCATGATGGGGAGAAGTCCCAGTCAGCCCCTTCTCCCCAAGCCTGAGGAGCGATGAGCAGCATTCCACGCCTTTCAGCTGCCCCCATGCCTAGTGTGGCCTGACCCAACTGCCAGCCTGGCAGGAGGGCACTGCTCTGGGCCAAGCCTCTGGCAGGAGCGTCATCCAGAAGCCCTTCCCTTTGCCTTCTGCTCCGATGCAACAAAGTCACCTTTCCAAAACTGCCAGTGCAGCCTTCAAGGGCCAGGTCTGCCACACCCACTGCAGCCCAGCTCAGGCTTGGCTCCTGGCTTCTTACCCCACAGGCCTCAAAGCAGGTGCTGTCCACTCCAGGGCGCCTTCCCTGATGCCCAGGCTGGTGGGGTGTGCTTGGCGTGGAATTCCCCAGCCATGGGCTCTCCACCCCACCAGCACTGAGCATTCTGTGGTCATCGTTTGTGACTTCTGTCTCCCCTGCCACCCGTGCAGCCTACGGCCCAGTGCCCAGCACAGAGCCTGGCACCGTTTGTTTATGGAACAAATCCACTCGTCGAAAACGATCAACTAATGACTGAGTGAGCTTAGGCAATTCCCTTTCCTTGCCTGGGCCTCGGCTTTCCCAACTAGCGGGCATCGGTCTGCAGTATCAGGAAATCTTCAGGACCCCAGTGGCCTGCGTGGTGTGGCCAGAGACCTGGGTGGGAGTGGAGTCGCCAGAGCAGACTCTGGAGGGAGAAGAGCCTTAAATCCTGTCTCAGTCCTGGATGACTATTTCTTGTCCCTCCACCAAACTGGGTGCTGCCCCGGGTCTGCTGTCTCCATTACCCTGTGGTCTCAGCTCCGTCTCAGGACACCAGGGCCAGCGGGCTACCCAAGGACTCTGTCTCCGAGGAGCTGAGGTTGGAGGGCGGACCAGCATCTGGCACATTCCCTGACAGCACTCCAGGGCTGTGGCAGGTCTTCGGCTCGGGGTTGCCTGGTAACAGCTTTTACATTTTGATGAAAAAAAATGTGGCAGCACCAGACAACACAGGGCTTGCGTGGGGGTGGACACTGTGTGTGGCGGGAGTGGGGGGCAGTTGTGCCTGGAGGACGAGCGGAGCCAGCGTTCTACCCCATTGCGGAGGCACCAGGGCCAGGACTAACCTGGCCCAGTGGGCTGCAGTGGGGGGAGTAGGCTTGGGGGACAGTTGGAGCCAGCCCAGGCCTGCAGGGGGGCACCCAGCCTGGCATCTGCCCCCTCCCACCCCCTTTCCCACACCTGCAGCTGGCGCCTTCTACCCGGTGAGCCACAGCCGGTGCCACCTCTCATTAGGTGATGATTTTACATTAATTACCTTAATTAAGCGGCGCTGAGTGCTAATGGCTTTTGAAAGGGGGGGGGTCCACCTCTCATTAGGTGATGATTTTACATTAATTACCTTAATTAAGCGGCGCTGAGTGCTAATGGCTTGAGAGAGGGGGTGGCTGTTCCTAATCACCCTCCCAGTCGGCCCAGAGTGAGGGACACAGGGCTTGGCAGAGCAGGAGCAAATGGTTGCTGAAAGGAGGGGAGGGGCCTGGCAGGGGTAAGAGAGGGTCCCCCGTCCACGGGGCTTGGCTCAGAGATGTGGACCCCTGGCATCTCCAGGACAGAGGTAACCGGCTCGGGGCCCAGAGCAGGGGCGTGCAGGAGTTGGGATGGATGGGGAGCAGGCAGTGCGCCCAGCTCCCAGACGCCTCCTCTGCCCCCTTCCCCATGGCTCCTCAGTTCCCTGTCTGATTCCTTCAACTGGGTTGAATGCCTTTCCTCCCCACTCCTGGTCAGTCCCCAAGATCTAGGTCAAATGTCACCTCATTCCTTCCTTCCTCATTCCTTCAGTCAGTCCATACAGTACCCATTCTGGGCCTGGACTAAGGGGAGCCTCAAGCTCACAGTCCTGCTGGGGAGGGGGTGGCCTAACGGACTGGATTGCTTGATGCAGAGTGATAAGAGCTCAGATGGGGTGCCCCAGGCTTTGGGGATCAGGAGAGAACAGACAGAGAAAGTGATGGCAGAGTTGACTCCTAAAGGAGGGGATGGTGGGATGACTCTTTCAGGCTGAGGGGCCAACATGTGCAGTTGGGGCTTGTGGGGAAAGAAGGCTGGGCCCATTCCGTCAGCCGCAAGCTGTTTAGGGCAAAGGCAGGGGAAAGCAAAGGAGGAAGGCTAGTGACGGACCCAGAGGGACCCTGATGGGCAGATGGGGAAGGATCACGGAGAAGGACTGCTGTGGAGGTTTGAACACCAAGTAAATGATGAGATGGCCCAGGGAGGCTGGGGGCAGGGAGCTGGGACTGAAGGTCTGACTCCTCCACCCTCTGATGGCACGGCCATGTCTGCCTCCCCCACCCCTGCATCCCACGAGCCAGTACAGGGCCTGGCCCAGGGGAGCTGTTCTGGGAGTATTTGTTAAAGTAATGAATGAGTTAACAGATGAACAAATGAGGCTCCATGGCTCTCTGGGGCCTAACCGGGCAGCTCTGTGATCTCTCTGCACGGCTGCATAGATTCAGACGCAGACTTCACACTCACTGAGGCCCTTGTCCTTCTAGGGCTAGAGACCTCTTCTCAGGCTCTCCTGAGCCTCTGGTCAAACCGCAGGGGAGGAGAATGGGTACTCCTGCCCCTCCTGGAGCCCCTTGACTAAGGCATTACCGAGTGGAAGCAGTAACTCTCTCCATCCCTGGTCTCAGGACAGAATCCAACAATGCTTTAGGCCCATCTCCCAGTCTGAGCCCTAGGCTTCGCCCTCAATCGGTACCCCATCACCCCCAATCCCTCTTCCCTTCATAGCAAGCCCCATTCTAGCAAAAGCTATCCCAGTTCTGCCCAGGCCAGACGCAGGTCACTCACCTTGATTTCTACACCGTAGCCAGGGTAGACCGAGATGTAGTAGAAACAGTCCAAGCCAACCTCAGGGGGTGAATTGAGGGCTTTGGGGGAGTCCAGAAAGCCCTCTGGGCCTGAGAAATTCCAACTGCAAGGACCTGGGAGGCAGGAGACACAAGGTTCAGCCCAGTTCTGGTGAAAGTGAGTCTAGCTAAGGCGGAACCGTGTGTGTATGTGTGTGTATGTTTGTGTGTCTGTGTATGGGAGTGTGTGTGTCTGTGGGTGTGTGTGTGTATGGTGAAGCCTACCTCTTGAGATGTCTAGTCCCTTGTTTTCTTTCTTTCTTTTCTTTTTTTTTGGAGAGGTTTTTGCTATAGGATAGATGCGCTCACCAGAAAGACAGAGAGACAGAAAGCAAGAAATCACCCCCCAGGGGGATGGCCATGCTGTAATCTTTTTTCCTCTGTTCTCCTCTCAGGATCTGGGGCACGCACACATACACCCTGGCATGAGTTTAAGCTGCCGGATTGGGGACTCGAACCGTGGTTGACTACGTGGGAATCCAACAACATAACCATTACGTCATCTGTTGGTTCCATAGATGTCTAGTCCCTTGTTAAAAGAAAGGACCCACCTTTAATTGAGCTCTCTCTCTCTCTCTCTCTCTCTCTCTCTATCTATCTATATATATATATTTGCATTCTTATCTGAGTTCTCACAATGAATCGATGAAGTAGATTTTTTTTTTTTTGGAGAGGTTTTGCTATAGGGTGTGTGCGCTCGCCAGACAGAGAGAGACAGAGAGACAGAAAGTGAGAAATCACCCCCTCGGGGGATGGCCATCCCTTCTCCTCCATTCTCCCCTTGGGATCCTAAGGACATGCACCCGGCGTGAGTTTAAGCAATCCGGTCCAGGACTTGAACCACAGTCGATTATATGGGAGTTTAGCAACATAGCCATTGCACTAACTGCTGGTCCCAGAGGTAGATTTTCTTATAGCCATTTTACAGAGGAGGCTCAGAGGGGTTAAATGAAATGCCTAGTCAGAAGAATCAGGATTTGAACATGATTTGATAAATATATACCTGCCATTATAATGAAGCTCAAAGGTTTTATTTTACTAATGAGGAAAAAAGCCAGAGAAAGGAAGTGACTTACTCAAAGTCACTCCACTAATTGAAGAACTGAGATAAGAACCTGGGTCTGTCTGGTTCCAGTCCACGAGCCTCCTGCAGGCTGGTCCCTGGTGCCAAAGGGCAGGGCAGGCTGGCTCAGTGTCAGAGACAGAGGCATTTTAGGGCCCTGCAGCTCCCACCACCCCCATTTCCAGATCTGCTAGCCATTAGGCAGCTCACCTGGTGACTGGACCGTGGTGATAGTGGTGGTGATGATGGTGGTGGTGGTGGTGGTCTCCTCATCGTCCCCTGAAGCCGTGGAGGTGGCAATAGTCCCCTCAATCCCGAGCCCTGTGGTCTGGGACATGATCTCCGGAGCCCATGGCCTGCCCATGTCTCCTGGACCCTCTTGGGTTGGAGTCCACGTTCTGCCGGGGGGTGTAGTACTGGGCCTCTCGCCTGGTCCGAGGGTGGGCACTGCCATGCTGGGCCCTGGAGGTAGGGGAGCTGTGATACGAAGCACAGGGGTCTCTGATTCCAAGCTCCAAGGTCCCTCCCTGGACTGGGGCAGAGTGGGTGCTGCAGCCATGGCCGGAGTCGGGCTGGTAAAGACAGGGCGGTTGTCCTGGTTGGCCAGGCGGGGAAGGGGACTCGGTGTGAAAGGTGCAGGTGGGTCAGGCTGGAAGGGCAGCGCTGGCCTCAGCTCCTCCTCCCGCCTCTCCAGCCCCTCCTGTAGGAATTCCTCGAGCAGTGGGTGGTGGTTGAGCAGTTTCAGGGTGGGGGCCGTTGTGACGAAGTGGATGCCTCGTTCTGGTTGCTCAGGTGTGGGAGCCATTGTCAGCTCCCCCTCTGTTTCCTCGATGCTTGGGGCTTGCTCTTCCCCCACAGTTGGGGCCTCTGAGGAGAGTCCTGAAATAATAAGGGATGGTCAGAGATTCTTCCTTGTGCCAGCACCAGGCCCATCTCAGGCAGGAGGATATTCATCTTTCTTTTGACCAAGAGCCTTATGGAGTATACTCACTATTGAGAATCATGGCACTATAGGTTTTTAGAGCTGAAAGTGAGATGATATCACATAGTTCAAGGATGTCACATAAGATACCTTTTCTCTCCCAGCACCAGCAGCAGACATTACTAATTGAGCATTGCACTATTTCCCGCTGTCTTCAGATTCAACCTCAGAATCCTTCTCAGCACAACTCTCCAGGCAGCCATTCCAGATATCTCAGACTGACATGATAAATAAATATCTGCCATCCCTAATGTGGCTCAAAGGTTTTATTTTACTAATGAGGAAAAAGGCCAGAGAAAGGAAGTGACTTACTCAAAGTCACTCCACTAATCGAAGAACTGAGATGAGAACCTTAGCCAGAGTGTTGCCCCCCACCACAGTGACTTCTGGCAGAGATTATAGAGCATTCACGTTCATTTCCTGTTCTCAGTCAACCGGCAGGTGATGACCTGGGAAATGCCTTACATATTTGGGGTTTATTTTAAATTTCCTCATGGGTGCATGACTTCTTTGTTAGAGTCCCATGAGGCCCCATTTCTCTCACCTCTCATAAAATCATTTCTCTCATCCCCTCTCCTGTTGTTATGGTCTTTCTAGAGCAGTAATGTGAGCAGAGTTGGAAGAGCCAAGCACTGGAGCTAGGCAGATGTGGATTCAGATCTCAGATCCATCACTCTGGGACTGTGAGATCCTGGGCAAGCAACCTAAACTCTCTGACCTTTAGTTTTTGCCTCTATAAAATAGCCGTTTTTAAAAAAGTTTTCTTTATTATTATTTTTACAAATTTGATCAGAAAGAGGCAGAGGAGAGAGGGAAAGTGGGAAAGCAAGCCAGGTCTGAGACTCGAACCACAGTCAGCCATGTGGTAGTCCAGTACCTCGACCATCCCTCCACCTGCTGGCACCAAAATAGGGTTTCTTTTTTAGGGTTTCTTTTTTAGGATTTACTGAGATAACACTATTTCCCTCCCCAATTTGATACATCTTCTGGAATTCCATTTATCTTTCTTGTAACTCTAGCCAGTGTTCATTGAGGGCAGGATCTAAAACAGGGGTAAAATGGCATCTGGCATGCTATCTACACGCCCCTATCCATGGCAGTTGTTGCTAATCAATTTAAATAATTTCTTCCTGGGGGCTGGCAGGTGGCATGGTGGTGGGGTGCTGGACTCTTACACGGCCTACTGCGGTTCAAGTCCTGAACCTGGTGGTTTGCTTTTTTTCCCTTTTTCTCTCTCTGGTCAAATTTAATAATAATAATAATAATGATAATAAATTAAACAATTATTTAAAAGAATAATTTCTTCCTGAGGAATTGATTCAGAATCCTTTGCAACAGTTCTCTGGGAAGCTACAAGCAATCAGATAAAGATAAAACATGCTTGCTATCTCTGGTCTGAGGTACAGACTGCTCTGCTGTTGAATATGTTGACTTAATCACTGCACAGCTGAAGAGATGATGCATATTCTGCTTGTGGCCCACTAGGCTCCCCTGATCCTTAACTGCCAAGAAAAGGTCAACGATGCTGGCTCCAGCTTCAGCTCATACAAAATTTTGCCAACTCTGAGAAGGCTGGGAGGATATTTCTGATCCTTCGAGCTCTCAAAATGGCTGCATGAGGATTTGAAAGGAAACACAGCCAACGCGAGATGACAGAGTGTGCAAGGAGAAGGTCGGTTCCTCCACACGTCTGGTGGTGGGGCTGTCATTCCACAGCCTCACACCCACCCCGTGGATTGGCAGGCGCGAGGAAGCGGCAGATGGCCTGCATTCTGTTCAGGAGACCATGGCAGCTCTGATGTGTCAGACAAATGAGAGGAGGGAGGAAACTGGGGTGGGGAGGTAGGTACAGGTGGGTACGGGCTCTCCATTTGACTGGGTCAGAGGGCCTGGGTACCCCAAAGCCCTGATAAACCAGGACCAACCACTATCTCCCAAGATGCTCACTGAAGCAGCCCACCCGTGCCCTGGCATTCTGGGCTAGGCACTGACAACACAGTGCCCAAACTAGATATCCAGCCAGGCCCATACCCCCAGAGCAGATGGTGTGCCAGTGCCTTGTGTCTTTTATCTGAATCAGTGGTGGAGGGTCCAGGCAGTGCCTGTGACATGCCAGGACAGACCTATCTCTTGTCCACCCCCCAGATGTCATGGGTCTTTGCCAGGTGAGCTGAGGCTGATGTAAGCATGGCACAAGGAAGAGGAACCTTTCTCATCACAGAGACTGAAGCCCTCTGAAGCCGTGCATTGCTCCAGTGTCTCCTCCTGGGATGGCCCCACAAGAGATGTGGCCCATGGCTCCCAGGACGCTGTGGGACTCTTCCCTGGGAGAGGGAGTGCACAGAGATCCTGTGACTCAGGAAGTGACTGGAGCGGGCACAGCTCTTCCCACTGGCTGCTAGGTGGGTGCTGGGCAATGGAGCAGAGCTAATGGGCACCTCCCGTCACTGTCGATTGCGCTGATTGTGTTATCTGGGGGGACTGAGCTCTTGGTTAAATGGAATCGTGATAGCATATCAAACGAACAAATTGATTCTGAAATCAGCTGCCACTTGGTCCCGGAAGGTGCCACCCACTGACAGAGAGGGTAAGATAATCTCTGAGAGATAAGCCGTTCTGGATTTCTGGGGAGTGGGCATCTCCTGGTTGACTTAGTTGGAGGCCTGAGGTCCTGTGACATGCCTCCTAGGTTGTAGCCAGGAGGTCAGAGGCTTCTCTCTGCTTGGGCTGAGTTGAGCAGCGCAGAGACTGACAAAAGGAGACAGTATGTTACAGGGGACAGCAGAAGGAGGTTCAGAGACCCAGATGCCCAGTCTTATCAGACCCTTCTCAAACCTTGGATTACTTCATTGACACTGCGGCTCAGTGACACAGGAATCTCAT